TAGGTATACCCGCGGACCTGATGCAACTGTTATTTGCATTGCTTCGTGGGCGGCACCCATGGGAGGAGAAACAGCTTACACCGGACGCTATCCAAGCATTGGACAGAATTGAAGAGCTAGCGAACCAGGGACGACTGGATCGCTGGGACCCAGGCCAGCAATTGGGCCTTTACATCGCGATAACTAGTAAGGGGACCGTTGCGGTCCTGGGTCAAGGCAATCCAGAAAGGCCTTCGATATTGTTGTGGCTGACCTCCAACCAGGTAACCACTGCATTTGTGACATACACACAAGCAGTGGCCGGAATAATAACCAAGGGTCGCGCCGCATCAGTTAGGCACTTTGGAAAGGACCCGGAGTATATCTGGGTGCCCATTAAAAAACAGCATTGGGAGGAGGTTAATCAGTATCAGGAACACCTGGCGCTTGCATTAGAAGGATATTCGGGGCGTGTCTGCCATGGTCCCGCCCTGGAGCTATATAGACACCTGCCTGTGGTTATGCCCAGCAAATCCTTGAGGGTGCTCACGAAACCACAGCCCGGTCGCACAGTCTTTACTGACGCGTCCTCCCGCACGTGTATGGCGGTAGTGGTCTGGCAGGAGCCCGAGGGCTGGCAACGGGTGAAAATATACAAGCCAGGTACTAGCACCCAGTACCTGGAGGCTCGAGCTGTTGCCCATGCCCTGGGATTGTGGCCGGACGAGCATGTGAACATCGTTACCGACTCTATGTTCGTGTACAAGCTCTTACAGCACATGGCAACTCTGGGCTGGGCAGGGACACAAATAGCCATAATGCTGGAGGAGGCACTCCAAGGGAGAGGAGCCACGGTATCTGTGCTCCACGTGCGGAGCCATTCTGGCATCCCTGGATTCTACCAAGAGGGGAATGATGTGGCGGACAAGGTAGCACAAGGGATATGGACTGTGCAACAAGCACGGGCCCTTCACGAGGCGATCCATATAGGCGCAAAGGCGCTTGCAAAGAGCTGTGATATTACACTGAGCCAGGCGAGAGACATTGTCGCCACCTGCCCGTACTGCCAAAAGGGAGTACTCTGGGGTGCAGGGGTAAACCCACGGGGACTGAATCAGGTCTGGCAGACGGATTTTACCCTCTGCCTGGTGCTACGTCCTCAGCCATGGTTAGCAGTGACCGTGGACACGTACAGTGGCTATATTATTGCCACTCAACACTGAAAGACAACTGCTCGAGCAATACAGCAGCACTGGGCATCGGCTATTGCCATATTAGGCTTCGGAAGGTCATTAAGACAGACAATGGTCCATGCTTTATAGCCCAATCTACCAAACAATGGGCTGCGGCTTGGGGCATTAACCTCAAGCATGGGATTCGGTACAACAGTCAGGGCCAGGCTATCCTGGAAAGAGCCAATCAAACCCTCAAGCGGAAGCTCAAGGTTCTTGGGGAGGGGGAAGGATATGCCCAAGGCATCCCCGTAGGTAGACAGGCAGAAATACTCATGAAAGCACTGTACTCATTAAATCATTTCATTCGCGGGGAAGACACAGAATCTCCCAAGAAAAGCATTGGGCGGTCAAGGCCATAGAAGAGGGGCCGTGGGTTCAGGTGAGGGACCCGGAAACAGGAAAATGGGAAAAAGGGTGGATGTTGGTATTGCAAG